TATTTCATTTCTGATTAATGCACCCTTGCCTCTCACTGATCCCAGCCCGTTACCCAGAACTCGAAGATTCTATAAAGGAGGCTACGTAGACTAGCATACCCCAGCCTTATTATGTCATAGCTTCATAGGACGGTGGTCAGGAGACTCAAAGAAGTTTGATCAGTTTAGTCGGCAGGCCAGGGATCAGCATAAGACCCTAGAGAAGTCTGAGTTAAGCAGACAGGCAGACTGTCACTTGCCAGGGCCCTAAATCTATCAATCAGACCCATCTTAGGTTGTTATAACCACTGCAGTAAGGGAGAAATTGACGGTGTCACATAATATCTCTAAGGGGAGAGACGCTGGGGAGGATACTTACAGACTTTCAGGCCCATGGCCGAGTTGTTTTCGAGCCAATCTTTCAAAGTAGGGAGCTGATTGGGACTGTAGAGTTAATGACAAGTACTTTGGCTTGGTGGGCAGGGCAGGAGGTGAGGGTCTGGAGTGAATCTTGATGGGCAAGCTGCTAGTTTTGATAAGTAAGCTGTTTTAGTTGGTAAGCATTTTTTTTTCAGGATTAAATATATCTTGGGGCAATGATTCTTTTTTGCTAGTTCTCAGTATTATTTAACACAGGGACAGGAGAGATTGCCCGGTGCCAGTCTCACTTAACACAGGACAAGAACGTATGTTTGGTCCCAGTTTTATTTAACACAGGGATAAGACATTACACTTCTGTTCTCAGTATGAACTAGGTAGCATGGTACCTGCTGCAGAGTAAATGTTCAAGAATCATGAGCTTTTATTACTTCAGTCAAAATCATCAGCAATAGTTACATTGGCAGAAACAAAGCAAAAGTCCTTATTTTTAATACACAAGGGAAAAAGTGTCAGTAAGTCAAGGCTCTTTTCTTAAACTTTGGGAGGCCAAGGCGAGAGGATTGCTTGAGGCCAGGAGTTGGAGACCAGCCTGGGCAACATAGTGAGACCTCGTGTCTACAAAAAAAATAGAAAAAATTAACCAGACGTGGTGGCACACGCCTGTAGTCCTAGCTGCTCAAGAGGATGGCTTGAGCCTAGGAGTTCGAGGCTCAGTGAGCTATGATCATACAGCAGAGCGAGACCCCATCTCTTAAAAAAAATAAAATTTAAAAGTCTCTTTTCTCTCATAAGTAACAGAAATCCGTTTTAGACTAACAGAAACAAAAACAACAAAACAACTTTTTGGCTCATGTATGTGAAAAGCCCAAACGTCAGTATCTGGTGTGAAGCACAGCAGGAACCAGGTGCTCACTTGAGGTCAGTCAAGTCTCCTGCAAAGACTCTGGATGGCTCTTCCTGGGTCACGTGCCTGAGCTGGCAGAGGGCAGGGAGGGCTGGTGCCCTGGAGCCACAGGAAAGGGCTTCTCACCCGAAAGAGGGTTCTTAATGGCAGGTGATCCCACAGTCCATTACTTTTGCCATGTTTCATAGCTAGTCTTGTGGTTTGCATCAGAGAAGTAATCATACTTTATCCTATACTGGAGACACTACAGCTAGCACAAACCAACCATTACACTTTCTCAGGCTGTGGTGGTGGTTGTAGTCGTGGTTCTAGAAGGAGCTCTTGCTTCCACTTGGCTGACTCGCCCGGGCTATCTGTGTGCTGGTTAACCTGCTTCAGCATGGTGCAGCTGTGTTGCCTTTGGTGCGCCAAGTGTTGCTGGGCCCAGCTTTTGTGCAATAATCCCATTTAACCTCAAGATAATACTATAGTAAAACAATTACCTGAACTTTTTTAATTTTTAGAAATCAGAGAATTCCAAAGCTGGAAGTGACTTTTTAGCTTCTCAATAAGCCTTAATTAGCAAATTATAGGAGACCCAAAAAAATAGAGTGTTTGGATTATAGCTATATGTTGTTTCAATCTTTTTTTTAATATCTCCCTTTTTTTAAATCTCT